TATATATATATACATATATACATACATATATATGTATACATATGTATACACCTATACACCTATATGTATACATGTATACATGTATATGTATACACCTATACACCTATATGTATACATGTATACATGTATATGTATACATGTATACACCTATATGTATACATGTATACACCTATATGTATACATGTATATGTATACATGTATATATGTATGTATAAATGTATATATGTATGGAATGCGATTTTTTTAGCCTGCAAATTTTAGTGCAAACTAAGCGCAAGACTAAATAGATGATCGAAGAAAAAGATTCCACCATTATTTGAAATTTGTTCAAACATATTTCAATAATTTTTAAACATTATCCAAATCACACGCAAAGTTTATTCAAACTATGTTTAAAGCTTGTTCAACTAGTCATTAGTTTTATTATTTGAACCATATTCAAACCGGGATTGAATCTTGTCTGAATGTTGTTCTCCAAGTTTGAACATCATGAGAAACTTGTTGGCACTCATTTTGACCATTGATAATTAGATCTAAATCGAAAAAAAAAGTTGACCGACACACATTTATAATCTCAACTTCTTATATATCATCTTTTCCTTCCACATTTATAATCTCAACTTCTTATATATCATCTTTATCTGTAGAGGTGTAACATATATATATGTTCCCCATTGTTTCACCATTACAACCATACAAAGCAACAGCCAATATGTCCATTGTTCTAGTCAGGTAAGCAGTGGCCATTTGGTTCTAATCCACTAAGCCGGTCCTTTTCCTTTGCCTTTTTTGTTTGAAATCCCGGTTAAGCACAGCATTGTAGTTATGGTCTAACCCACTTGACACTACAATTTCTTGTTTTACCTAACATATTTTAGGTTCCCCATGCTAACGTTTATCATGGCTAGCACATAAACTAGACTTTGCATTTTGGTTTCTCAACTTCTGAAGCAAATTTCACACTAAAAAATCAAGCTTGTAGCATAAAACATTTTACACTTGATATATCTAACTCATGTTAGAATTAACACATTATAGCCAACACATCTCATTTTTGTTTGATCTACTGAATACAATCAAATAAAATGATATTTATATTCAAATTATTAAATAAACTCTTTTTTTTTTTTTTGCGACAGCTCTAAAAACAAAGTAAGACTTCACCCTCAACAGCCTTCAATAGTAGCCGGCTAAAGCACCTCCAATTCTCCATTGTCCAACCATTCACCAAGGCACCAAAGGATGCCCAAATATTGCAGAAGCAATCAATCTCCACATACAACAGGCAGGGTTTCTGAGACACGAGAAATCTGTTGAGCTTGGAACTATCAAGCCTTCCAGCAATCCTTGTCGAGCTTGAATAGGCTCCAAGCATCAAATGAAACTAAACTGTTTGCATACATGCCACACAATTCTTGTGTATTTACATATCCAATGCCTAAATATTCATACTTACATGCATAAAACTCAAATAATTGACATCACATCAAAAATATCACCATTCGCTGCCTTTTACAAAGTGAAATACACCTTTTCATGCATAGGTTTATGACAGCTACGACGGTGTTCGGTAGCATGCTATTAATAGGATTTATCCATGAATTTAACTTAAATCCAATCAAACATAAAATAAAAATAAAAATTAAATCAAACGCTCCATTATATCAAAATTTCACACATTTCATCTTTTTTTTTTCCTTGCATTCTATCTCTTTTACGACGCAAATCCAGATTTAATAAATCAGATTGTGAGGCAAATTTCTTCCGTCGTCGCTTGTGTGCTCCTCCGTCGCAACCTGATTTTCGTAAATACGGACTTATCGGATTAGATAAATCCTATTTAATGTAAATCAGGGTTGCAGCAAAACACCGCCTAAGTGTTATAAGTGTAAATATTTTTAGGAATTCTGTGGTATGCATGTAAATATTTGATTCACGCAATCATTATACCAAGCATGCATAACACTATATGATCAACTTTACAAACACATTTTAGGTGATAAAAAGGGAAAAAAAAAATCAAACAAATGCATCAACCAATTACAGTGGAGCTCTCGAAAGGAATTAACATTTATAATTTGGCAATCTATTTAAAAATATTTAGCATTTGTCGGTGCAATATACGGCCTAAAAGAACTGAGAATTGCATTCATCACCCTAAAACATAATCATTGCATGGTGCATATGCATGCAACTAAACTCCAACCCTTCATTTAAAAGCCTACCATTCTTTGTCTATAATAATAACAAAATCTCAGTTCCGTCAAAGATGTTAGTCAAATACACTGAACTTGATAAATGGCTGCAGTCCATTTTCTGCAAGCTCCTGCAAAATGTAATCAATTACTCGATGTGGTGTGGACGACAACAATAAAGCTCTAATAAGTGCCATTTGCAACTTCTCTGATCAAGGAAGCTCAGGTCACTATTGGAAGGAAGAACTAATATAGTATGGTCAGTTAAGAATTCTAAATGCAACTAAAAGTAAGGAAGATTTACGTACATACCACTCAATTTCTACATCTAACACCTAATCGTCAATTTTTACTTGCATAGCACCTTTCCTACACATAAAAAAGGGTATTTCACATTTTAAAAGTTGAAATGGTTAAATATTTATGCGATTGGAAAGATTTGGCTTGTATAAATGTAAGAAATTAAAGTTTAGGAGTTAGATATGCAAATACATAAAAATTGCATGGTATTTATGTAAATGGTATTTATGTAAATGACACAAAAAAATTATTCATGCGATGTTTTGTGGAGGCAAACAAATCAGCCTCACCTTAATCATATCATGTAGGTAATGTTCTCAACAATCGTAAAGCAAGAGTCCACTGAGGCCCTTCCGAGAGAACAATCCTCCTCAGAACAGGAATAATTCCTGCAGAAACCATTGCAGGATGATTCTCATCATCCAAGCTAAGATTATATAAGATAGATAAACAAGCTTCCAGCGCATAGCCAGTCCCCACTTCAGTAAGCTTTACAAGGGGGAAAATTCCTCCAGCAGAAGCAATGGCTTTGCTCAACTCCACACCTCCTTTAGAGACGACATCATTAAGCTCAATAGCCGCAGCTTCACGAGATTCAAGAGAAAAGGACATACTCATCTGCTCAACAAGTCTTGGTATGGTATCATAGATGATCACCTCCAAGCCTATGGGAGGGTTGCCTGAGTCCAAGACTGGATTGGCCTTGGATTCAAGCTTTAAGAGGCATGAGGCTACCCAGTCCTTGGTATGGAGGGGAATGTTGGATCTCAGAGCATCACGTAATACAGATTCAAAATTTGAAGTTTTGACAGGATTATGGAATTGCTCAAAATCCAAAAGTTTTATCAGCAACCTGGAAGCTGCAGCAACCGCAATTCCAATTTCTTCAGTCATCAAGGCATTCAATTCAAGTCTATCGTCAACAACTCCTTGTGTACCTGTTAAGCATAATATATAAAAGCAGCTAAGAAAATGGAGACAATCAGGAAAAAGAATGGCGGTCAATTTAAGAGGATGCAAAAGAATGCAATGAAGCGCACTTGAATTCATTGGAGCAGTGTGACGTGAAACAAACTTACGAACAAAAAAGTATGATTAGATATTGTTAAACTTCTGCTACTCCAATTATATCAAAAAATTTAAGGCACACCAATCAAGGCTTTGTACCATTGGAATTGTCTCTCAACGGATTACAATCCATCTACTCTCCTGTAGGATCACCGATTATTTGTTTCTTTCCTCTTTTTTTGGTTTTATTTATATTTTGTAATGCCTAAAGAAGGCGTATATACATCTCCTATTTTGTATAAAGAAAATAGAAGATCCTAGAGAGTTCATTCAATTGTTTTATTTTAAAAATGATATCAAAACAATGTTAAGGCGTTCCATCCGACCATTGCTCTTATTATCTATGAATTAAGGCTTTCACTTCCAACCTATGTTCTTATCGTCTAAAGTTAGGGTTTCCACTTCAACCTTATCCCTCTTGTTGAATTCTCCTTCCATTCACTATGTTTGGATTATCTGACTTCCCTTTAAAATAATCGAGCATGATTAACGTTAAAAATCAAATCAAATGAGAACTTCAGATATTTCAAGCTTACATGAACAGGAAAAACTAATTGTCACAAATCGTGAAGTTCGTTCGAAAGAGAAGGAGAAAGATCCAAAATCTTGTAGATCTACCTCACGAGCCTAAAGACCCAAAGTTCTTACTTTGGAAAGAAACTGATTCCATGACCATGGCAGGGATGTAAAACACCACACTACCAAAAACTCAGTGGGCCTTTTATATTTTTTTGTAATATATGTATAAATAAAATAAAATAAACTAAATAAAAAAGATGATTTGATTAGAACGGTTCAAAGGAAGCAACCATATCAACAGTTTCGTTTTGAGGAGACGAGTCCCACTCGAAGCAAAGAATTGAACCACACAGGAACAAGAGCATGAGATAGAGAAGAAGAATAAGGAGGTCCTTGCTGACGATGCCACACTCGAGCGAATGAAAAGAATTAATGACAAGAAGTGCTGAAGGCCTAATCACTCTTAGTGCGAAGGAAAGGAGAAGATGGAAAAAGGATACTCTGTTTGCAGGAAAGAGTAAGAATCGAGCGCCTCCTATGTGGTTCCGAGTATAAGAGAAAGGGGAGTCAAGAAGCAATCACTGTTGCAAATTGTTAACTTGAGGGAAGGAGACACCCATGTGTATAGGATTTGAGTCAAGCGGTGATCTAGGCTTTATCAAGCCAAACTGAAGGTTTTAGGGCTATGGGCATCCTATATGTAAAGATAAGGAGAGGAAAGTTCACAGGATCCTTGTGTACAAGATTGGAAAGGGACCAAGTGGTTGCTCTGTGTGGGAGTCGGCCTTGTTTAATTTGGATTTTATATAAATGAAATTGAAGTTGTATTTAAGAAAAATATAGATTTATGTTACTTTATGGCAGGAAGAACAAACGAAAAGATTATTAGATCAAAATGAGAGGGAATTGACAGCAGCGAATGTGGAGGTAAAAAGGAGAATTTATGTTTGAAACTAAAAATTTTAATTTATTAATTGAAAGTTATTGTGTTCATATAAATAATAAATAAGATAATTAGAAAATAGAAAATATGAAAAAGTAAAAGATATTCAAATTAGATAATTGTAACTAACTTTATAATTTTGGTTTGAGCTTAACTGGTATATTAAATAAGATTATATGACTAACTAGTATATGAACTTAAAATTAATTTAATTTTTCCTCTTAAATTTTTTATGAATTTCTAAAGTGCAACTTCTTTGTAACTATTCGATGTTTAAAAACTAGGAAGATTTTATTTTTAATAATATAAAAAATTGATACGGGCACGAGTGCCTGGTTACGGGCGCTAAAACAGTGCTAGGTTCGAGTGGTTCAAACCGAGGGCGAAGGGGACCACGAAGCAGGGAGGACGCAGTGCAATGTCTTGCGAGGGTTTGCTAGAACGGGAAATCTCGCACGAAGAATGGAGGGATCGTGCGATCCTGGGTGGGGCTTCACAGGTTTGCTGTTCATTGGAGTGTCTTCTGGATTTTTCTGGGCTTCCCACTCTCTTCCTTTGTGTAGAAGCTTCCACCATCCTACGTGAGCCTATAAATTGTCATCCCCTATGTAGAAAGTCAGATATTGGTGTGTTTAGTTTCAAAGCCCATGGAGTCTCTTTCTCCTTTGTGGGCTGTATCTAAAGAGGTGGTAGTGGTGCTTCGGTTGTATCCTCTCCAAGGTGATGATTATATTCTCCCTTTTACCTTCCCCAAACCTTCTCCTCGCCACTCTTCAGTCACCAAACTCTCCCTCTGTCACCCTAACACCTAACCATTTTCCCTTCCCACAGGTTATTGCTGTCAACCCACCTTCCTAACTCCTTCCAAGCTCCTCCCAATAAGCCCACTACCGTTGCCGACCACCTACAATCCTTTCCCACCAGCTGTCCCTACAGTTCCACACCATTCATTTACAGCCACCAGCCTCCTGTGACTGCCATCATTCCTCCCAATCATCTTTATCCCTCTAGCCAACCTCCACTAGTTTGATTGTGTCGTTCCATGTTTTGTGTCGTTATTTCCAATTGAGTCATGTTGTAACCCTATTTTAATATTAATGAAAGTTTGCTTTGTGTTTTCCCAATTAATTCTGGTATCAAAGAAAGGTTCATTAGTTTGGTATGCTCTTTAACCATATATGTTAAGTATAGATAAAAACCTTTTTCAGTTGAAGATAAGTAGTCATTTTAGTATAGTTCTACTCTCATTAATCCTAATAAAAGTTAATTATAGATAAATTGAAATCAAAATTTTAATATATTAACTTATTTATTAAAGAGAACAATGAATATAAATATATATAAATTATAATAACAGAAGTAAAAATTGAAGAATAGTTTGATTAGCGAAAACTTGTTTGAATCATAAAAGTTTGATCTTATGTTATGTAGCTTATTAATATCAACATAAATGTTATCATGATGCCAAGCTACTTATCTGAAGATTCAGAATCTACCGTGTCAGCTGAGGTAAGTAATTATATTTCAAATTTACAATAATTTTTCTTACTCATGATTGCATGTCCATATTTTCAATTATTCACATTTATACACTATACAATAAGATTTAAACTATAGTTAACTCTTCAAATTATTCTATATGAAGCATGCATGTTAACTCTGCTACATAAATAATTATATATTAGTTTTTCTAAAAAAATATAAGAGTATTGCATGATCTTCAAATTTTAGTAGAAGTGCATATATTATATTATTGCATGACTTTTAGATTCTAGTAGAGATACATATATTAGATTATTGCATAACCTTCATATTATAAATAAGTGGATGTATCAAATTATTGTATGATTTTTAAATTTTTAGTAGATGTTCATTTATTCTTTAAATAAATATAAAATATTTTATAAGAAAATAATGCAAGCTATAAAGAATGAAAGTAGTGTATACATAAATGTTTGTATGTGTATGTTAAGATGAGAAGTTCACTGATACACAAAAATAAAATATTGTTTTAAATACATATTTTATGATTTTTTTTGTGATATCACACTTTAAAGAACGGTATTTTCATGTTTTTGTTTAAATTCTTGTTTTGTCGTATCCTTCTCATGAATTATGAGTAGTCTTCTTTATCATTCTCACTACTTTAAGATATGATTTTGTGAAGAATTGATTTTGTTTTCTATGATTTTAAATGTCAATAATTTGTGAAGATTTGAACTTCAATCTTCATTTATTTTTCGATCTGGTCAATTGAAATTTTAAAATTCATTTTGAAACATATGATCTGAGAGGGTTATTCTTTCTACAACAAAGTAAGAATTACATTCGATTTAATGGATGAGAATGTAATCCATCGGGTTTAGTGCAAAAAAATAGAAAAATATTTATTGATGTCCGTAGAATTGAAGATTTTAGGGTGATTCAGTTCATTGAAAACTAATGCGAGATTGTTAGCCCTCAGGGGAGTAGTGGAAGCACTGAAGTGGCAGGCGGGGTCCCCCTAGCCTAACCACGGAATTAGAGACCAAACTCTGGATTAGTCAATGTTCTTTATAGCACTTGGAAGAAGGTAAAGAGTATGATTGCTTCTATTTAACACAAAATAATTTTTATATATATTTTTTCAAATGATTTTAATTTCTTCACAATCCATATAATAATTACAAAGGGAAAGAATACTTTCTTAAATTTGAATCTTCCGTCAACAAAAACATTGTTTAGTTTTTGTAATTTTACTTTTCAAAGTTTAGTTTTAGTTAGTTAATTCTGTCTTTCAACTGCATTTTATATAACATTCACTTTAGTGGTTAATATTCAAACTTCACACTTTACTTTTATTTTTGTATTTTTGAATTATAAAATAATTTTAAGAATTTATTTATATAGGTTTTTTCAACTTTCATGTGTGGTCGATATCTAAGACTCCATTAGAGCTCTTTATTACTTGAGCGATACGTATACTTGTGTTGATTTTAAAGGGAATTTGGCAGTTTAAAAAGAGTTTTAAAGATAAACTATTTTCATAAAAGATATTGCATATTTATTGTTATATCTGTCGTGTGTATTTTGTAATATTGAAAAATATTTGCAAACTTTACACACTAAATCTACCCACATCATTCACCACCTTATATTACTGGCTGAGGAAGCCAACTTACCCGCTCACGTAGATATTTTTCTACAACCTTAGACAATTGTGAATGTTAGATCACTAATCATTATGCTAACAAGAAAGCATTGACCAGGGGTGAGTAAACCCATATAACCTCACGTAATTTAGATCATGAAACCACTATGTCGATGTAATAATATCGGTCGAGATTAAGTAGACACATTTCCATCTCCGACAATCGTGTAATATAGATCACAAACGATTGTATTGACGAGTTAATATCTGTCAGAGAT